CCCCCCCCATTTTTGAGCAGTATGGAACAGTCTTGCATCACATATTCTTTTGGATTCATACACTTTCATCTCCAGTCCCAGTGGGCCGCTAGCGCTGCCCGTATTTATGTGTGTTTGTGTGCATGCATTTAGCCCTGGGCAGGATCTGAGACAGCCCTTCCTGCCCCAGCCTGTCCGCGGCCTCCGGAGCTGTGCAGACAACAGCAACTTCGGTCTGAATCACAGCTGAGCTGCCAAGAGGCTGAGTAAGCTGAGCGGGCCGCGGTGGGCGGGACAGAGAGGCTGGGAGTGGTCAGGTGGGCGGGCGGGGCGTTCAGGTGAGGCGCTGCTGCTACCCACAGAGGGCTGCTTCGGTCTAGGTCCTTCTACACCCTGGTTTCCTTTTCCCTGGCTCTGCATTTTCCAGGAGAACTGTCTACCCAGGTAAGCAAAGTGGGAGGAGGGGGCTGGAGAGTTCCCTCTTCGGGGCCATCCTTAACACTGAGCAGGCTGGAGGGTGGAGGTGGGGACCCAGCGGCCCAGGCCCTCTCAGCACAGGGAGGGAGTCGGCCCTGTGGCTCACTGCCCCAGGTCCGCACCTTCTGCTTGGTCCCCTGGGAGCAGCGAATCCGTCTTGCAGCCAGACTGGGAAAGTGAAGATAACTTGCTAAGAAGGGTTTGGTGTGTTGGGAGTCAGGGGATCACCTCGGGGACACAATGTTGCTGATTCCTCAGGACAGAGTATTTGTGAGGCCATTTTTGGGCTGCGTTGGGGTTCACAATGCATGTGGCATTGCTGGTTTCAGAGATGGTGTTACACAACCCCTGGAGAGAGCAGGGGAGTGTTTAGTGTCTGGCTCACTTCCAGGGTGGCCTCCCCCGGCTGAGACTCAGGCCCAGGAGGGGTCTGCTTCTGGCACTGTGAAGCTTCCAGCCAGTGTCACTGTCTCCTGCCCACCCCCTTCCAGGCAGAAGGCGTTCGCCCTCCCCATTGCCGAGGTTCAGGACCTGGGACGAGTCACGGCTCGGAAGTGTGTGCTCTCGGCCCATGTCAAGTGGGCTGGCTCAGCCTTCCGCCCAGATGCCACCGCTTTTAGGCCTTCGTTGCCACTGTCAGACGAGCGAAAAGCCTCACCCGTCAGGCTGTTTCTGGGACTGTGCCAGACCTGGTTGGGGTGGTACAGCTGAGGGCTCCTGGTGTGTGGCAGTGTGCAGCTGGGCATGGAGGATCACAGAGGAGATGCGTGCCTGAAGTACAGCAGTGTGGAAGAGGGAGGATGGAGGCCCAGGCCCTTGCCTACTGCCCAGGGCATTTCCAGCACACACAGGCACCACTGGCAAGGTCTCACCCTTTCCTCAACCCAAGCAGACTTGAATCAGGTGCATCCCGAGCCTCAGACCCACCAAGACAAGTGTTTGGTGGGTGGGGGGGCCGGAGCTGCCTCAAGAAAGGGTTCTTGCAGATGACTCAGCAGCTTTAAAGCGCTGCTTCCTAGGCCTGAGCACCCTGCCACGTCAGCCCCTTAGGGGTGTGGGTTACTGAGGAGGGTCAGTGCCCCAACTCTGTTCCACTGGTGTGGTAGGTCTGACTCTCCCGTCCTGCCAGGTCCAGGCTCCTGGGCACCATTTGGCTCCCACAAAAATGGGGGCAGATGTGATGTCTCAGAACATTGGGCAGAGAGGAGGTTCTTGAACCAGCAGAAATGAAGCAACTGACCTTATTACTAATAGCTGGGTTATCCTACATGCTAGCAAAGCACTTTCTTATCCACCCCTCATTTCACCACCTTACCAATCCTCCATGATTCGCCTCACTGCGGACGTGCCAGGATCTGCTGTCTTGCTAATCTGGCCCTGACCTTCTTGTCCTCATGGTGTTAGATTGTGCACAGCGGGGGCTGTTTGGCCCTTTCACTGAACTATAGCGGCAACATTTCTCAAGGCATTACCGAAGGGCTGGCGGCTACAAATTTTAGAGATTTTTTAAAACTACCTTTTGCGTTACCTTTAAAACAAGGCAGATGAGGCAAAACAGTGTCCACGATAACCATAACCTGACACAGTGAACAATTAATCAAGGAAAAGCTACGCACTTAGCGGCTGGTGCATGGTGTGGGGCTTGCGCCCGAGGCTGGAGGCCAGGTGGCCTGCAGGACTGGAGGGTCCCTCACAGCCAGCACGTCGGGCGTGGAGGGGGCGCCACAGCGGGTGTTGGGGCAGCAGCCAGAATCCAGGACTGCCCCAGGCAAAGCGGGACCCACCATCCACCCGCCCCTTGACCTGCACCTCAGCCCAGTGGTCTCCAGATGAGACGTTTGATGACCTTTTGCTCTGATGCTTCCGATGCCTTAGAAATCTTGCCCCAGGGTGTGGAGAGACACTGTGGTCTAGGGGCTCCCTGGCCCCTGCCCTTCCCAGGGGCTGCTGCTAGCCTTGCCCTGCGGTGGGACAGTGTGCAGGCTCGGGGGCCAGTTCTCTCCAGCACACGTTTCTGTGCCTGGCAAATGCCCACCTGCGCTCCAGGACTCATATTTCTCGGGACTTAACCTAGATGGCCGTGTCTCAGGGGAGCCATCACTGAAGTTCGTGCTGTGAGTGATAGTCTCTCCTGAGGCTCGCATGGCAACTTGTGCACCCCACCCCCACCCGCCCTTCCATGAAAACACTGTTGCACCTATCCCCTGCTGCGCCACGTGGGTCAACCCCCTGGCTGGGGATCGAACTAGTGCTAAAGCAGCTGCAGACAGCTTCACAGTGCTGCGCTTAGCCTGTTGCGCCACTAGGGAGGAGGGGCGGGGGTTTTGATTCCTTAATGTCACACTCAGCTCTAGTGCTCCGGTCAAACTTCCCAAAGAGAAGCAGCATCCTGTTGACCCTCATACAAAAACAGGGTTGAACCGAGAGCTTCCGTTTATACTCGAAATACTCCTCAACACGCAGTGTGAACTCGCACTATTGAAAAATTCGGTGTAACATCCCAGATGCATTTTCCTGTTCTGAACGATTTTCTTAGTAACATTTGATATTCTCTAGTTTCCTTTAGCGTGAGAATACAGAATACAATATACATAGCTTACAGAATACAGGCTCACCAGCTGTTTATGTTCGGGGAAGGCTCCCGGGTCAATGCCAGGCTCTCCAGAGCTGAGTCTGGGGTGGGGGGTGGGGTGCCCCAAAGTGATACTCTGATCTGTGTTTGCTACAAGAGCTTCTTCAATTAAGAAGAGCAGGTAAAAAGTTTTGTGCTAATGGAAAGGGGGTATTTTTGGTAACTTTAAAGGGGAAACTAAACACTTGCACTTTTTCTCAGTAGTTTTCTGAAGACAAATGCCAGCAAAGACTTAGCTCCCGAGAAGGGAGGTGCTGAGGCGTGGTCGGAAGTGCGGCTGCGAGCTAGACAGCTCTGGGTCTGGTTTTACTGCTCTCACGCGTGGGTGGCCAGGGAGAGAGAATGTCCTCTCCTGCGCGGCTTCACTTTCCTCAATGAAGGGCGGGGCCACGCCAGTTCCAGACTCAGATCTTATCCCACTTGAAGGTTTGTGTGATTTTAGCACAGAATCCAATAATCAGGCAACTTTACAAAAGTCTCTCTCTCTTTTTTCTTCTTTTTACATTAAGGAAAGCTTGATTACTACACACATCCCAGGCATGATTGTAAACAGAGAGAGCTCTATATAAATTTTAAAGCTTTTTCAATAGGAAATAACTAAAGGTGACTAAACTGTGATAGTGTTTGACAAAAGAGAACACAAGTTATTATTTTTTGCAGTTTGTTCTTAATCCTAAAAGAAGCCCACATATCAAGTTATAAACTGAGCTCAGTAGTTTTGAAATGTTTTGAGACAACAGGAATAGACATGCTAGAGATAGGCTCACGGATGGGTCACTGGCTGCACCAACATTTGCAAGGCAGTTGGGCAGTTGCCATGTTAAGATATCATTATCTCTTCCCTCCTCCTCTTCCCCTCCTCTCTTCCCTCCCCTCCTCCCCTTCCCTCTTCTCAAATAGTTTGAGGCACATGTAAAATGCAACAGGGCCCCTGGGTCAAACATCCAGGGAGCTCTGTGACCCGCCTTCCCTGGAAGGACTGCAATAAATTCTTATGGCCCTCCCTGTGGCCAGTGGGCTGCAAGCCGGCTGCAGCTGCTTCAGTGCGAGTTCGATCCCCCACCCCAGAGGTGCCCCACATGGCGCCACAGACCTCTCCTGACCTGCCCCTGCTCCCCTCAGCAGTGGACTTTGTCAATCTGCCCTCTCTGTCTCTGGTGAATCCTCTCACCATCCCTGCACCTCTGGCCTTCACCCCAGTTCTGTATGCATAAATAAATACATCTTTAAAAAAAATTCTTACAATGACATTTGTTACCACTGCTTAAACTTCTATGTCCCTTCTCTCTGTCTTTTAAACTTGTAGGTGGCTAAAAATTGTAGTGTTTTTAAGTTGGAGGGGTACAGTACGGTGGTTACAATTATTGGTTATAAGATTGGTTATACGATTTTCATGAATGAGGTTATCTCTATGACAAAGTGATAATAACAAAGTCTGCAGTGACATTAGACTCTGAATACAAATCACTGGACGTGTAGGCGTTTCTAATCTCGTCGCCATAATTTTTACAGCATTTGCTCATGCAAAGCAGTCTCTGTAGGAAGGTGAGACAATCTCCTGGGCATGCATAGACCATGTGCTGAGATTCGTTTAAATGCTTTGACTGGCCCTCCCTGGTGGTGCAACAGGTTAGGACGCAGCACTGTAAGCTGGCCGCAGCCACTTCAGTGCACGTTCGAACCCTGCCTCTGGAGGTGACCCACATGGCGCAGCAGACCTCTCCTAACCTGCCCACTGCTCCCCTCAGCAGTGTACTTCATTGATTTGCCTGTTCTGCTCCCCACTCTGTCTCTGGTGAAGCCTCTCACCACTCCTGTACCTATGGCTCGTACCCCAGATCTGTATGCATAAATAAATGAATATTTAAAAATATGCTTTGACTGTCTTGCAGCCAGAGCCACCCCCCCCAGCTACCTCAGATCAGATGAGCCTCCCAGTGTCTTTAGGTCACTTAGGAATAATGGTGGAGCACCCGTCTGATTGATGACCTGCTGCAGGTCATTGTCCCTGAACCATTTCTATGTGCAGACCTTCTCTGATACCTTTGTCAGACACCAAATGCATTATTGTTGGGACCTCAGATATTCAGAGCTCCATGAATTCCCAACCTGAAAGAGAATTTTCTGAAAAGTATTGAGTAAGTACCAAGATGGGAAGTCAGACCTGTTCAGACTCCTGTGGACTCTCACGCAAAGGAAGGGACTTACCGAGGGAGGATCCCGGGATAGGCAAGCCTCAGATGTCACCTGTGAGCTGATTTACAGTCCCCAATAGAGCCCGAAGACTAAGCTTTGAATTGCAACAAGGGTTAATCATATCACACAATGGACTGCACCCAGAGCCTCCCTGATCCCATTCTCTCAGAGTCATTTTGACTCAATGGATCTCAACATGTCTCAATGAACAAATGAAGGATGGTTTCGTTGAAAAAAAAAAAAAAAAAGTAAGACAAAGGATCCCTTAGGCGCTTCCAGGGAATTCTATGGCTTTGTGGTCAAATTCCCTCCGCAGAAGACTCCAAGGTCTTAAACAGTTTTCCTATACAAAGGAAACCCAACTTTAAAAGTAAAGCATCTGCTGTTAGGCAAAATTACTCTAATTTCTTTTCTCAGAGGGTAGAACTACTTGTGTTTAAGAAAACACAGCTTATGCATTTTTCCATTATTTAAATCGCGTTAGGCCTTAAGTTTTTGAAGCATTGAGAAGATTGCAGGGATCTGGAATAAGTTTCTCTATTTGGTGGAGAATTAGCTCACATTATATTTGCCTTGTAAGTGAACTCAGCACTATCCATCTGAAATTTGCTATTGAAGAAAGTAAGACTTCTTATTCTGAATGTTACATGGATTCCTTAATCCTTTTGTGAAGTTAAAATGATTTCCGCAGCAGTCGGCATGCTGGCTGAGACACCCCACAGACTCCCATTCCTTGGGCTCTGCACACCCAGTGTGGGTCTCCCCACTCCTGGGGAGCTGGTGTTATTTGTGACCTGTGACCTCTCACCCCGCCCAGGAGGAGGGAGAGTCAGGCAATAATGCAAGGTAATAGCAGCTGCCTGCCCTGACCTCAGGCTATGATGTGGTAGAAGCATGAGGAGAGAAATGACCCGACTGCTCGGGAATGTAAAATAGAGGCGGAAGAACTAGTGGAGATGACCAGTGAAATGAATCAAAGGTCAGCAAAATATTATTCCCTAGGATGCCATGCGGCCAAGTAGGCCTGACTTTGGAGATTCCAGGCAGACCTGAGCACAGAGCATCTCTGTGTGTGGTCCACTCAACATTCTGAACTGACCATTAGGAGATATGCCAAGAGGCTTCTTCACCACCAACTCTTCGAATTGCTTTTACTGAAAGTCCCTCTTTCTACCAAAGACAAACTCTCTGTTCACACAGAATTGCTATTGTGTTGGCAGAATGCAATTGGGAACACCTTAAAGATGCTTTGAGAACTGACATCCGGCTTGTCCTCTGTTCCAGGCCCACAATGGATGCTCTGCGACAAGCAAATTCGGCTTTTGCAGTTGACCTGTTCAAACAACTGTGTGAAAAGGAGCCAGCTGGCAACGTCCTCTTCTCTCCAATCTGTCTCTCCACCTCTCTGTCGCTTGCTCAAGTAGGAGCCAAAGGTGACACAGCAAATGAAATTGGACAGGTGAGCCTCGTGCCCTATTCCCACCTGGAGTCATTAGATGGGGACTCTGGTCAGACTGGCTCAGGACTGAGAGCTGCGCCATTTCTAGAACTCTCTGAAACCATTTATTAGATGTGAAAGTTCATTTGTCTGTCCTGCAATCTACATTTTGAATAGGTACCGTATTGTAATGAAGAACCTGGAAATCTGGTAGGAAATCACAAGTGGCCACACACACACACACACACACACACACACACACACCTATTGTAACATACATGTGTGATGTGTGTATGAATAACTTCATCTAGATGGTTCTTCTCAAATGGGATGCTTAGGTCCAGGGTGTCTTCTACAGACTAAGTAGGAACAATTCACCTATATCTACTAACAAGGAGCCTTCAGTGAGGTGGCTACATCTTTCCACCTGTTATATGTGAAGAAATTAAGATTTAATATTGTATATTAAATGCTCCTCATAAGTATCTCTACTAGAAAGACCACACCTTTACATTCTTAAGTATGTAATTCATGCCCAGCATCGTGCTTTATTTTAAATTGCAGCTTTATTGGCTGTATAGTATGTCCCGAGTGGAGAGATATAATATATCCATTCCTATTTCATGGAAATAGCATTTAAAGTTACCTACATTGAAGTAACAAGGATACAGATGGATTGTTCTTGCTTATATTTTTAAAATTTCCCTGGGACTTGAGGAGCCACTCAAAAGAAATGGACTGACACAATGGTGTTGTGTGTATATACACACACATACCTCAGCTCCGTACTATCTCCCAGTCTTCATTTCTCATCTCCCCATAGAGAAGGGAAGGAAAAGAACTTTCTGGCCATGCGTCTGTTTTGCAATAATGATTTAAAAGGTCTTTGAGTGCATGACAATTGGTCCCCTCTAGTACCTCAGCAGTAGTTACCTGGATGCTGGAGTTTTCTGTCTTGTTACCTGTCATTAGGCATGAGAATTACACAGTCACTTTGACCTTGCAGAGCCTGGGCTGTGACTTGGAGCAACTGCACATTTAGTGGTGTTACTCCAGGCAGCACCAAGGTATGAGTGAGACGTGAGGAGAGAATCACCTCATGCTGCTTTGTGGCAGCATGAAGCAGAGTCAATGGCAGGCTGTTGGTTGGAACAAAAGAAAAGTTAGGGACAGAAAGGATTTAAGCCCTTCGGAAGACAACACCCTAGACTGTTGGAAAAGAATAAATACTGACGAGCCCATATGATATTTTCTGTGTCCTATCTGCAATCTTCATGCCAACTCTGGAAAGCCAGCATCCTTGGTCCATTTCCGAGGGGAAAACGAGGCATGAAGAACTGCCCGGGATTGTCACATTTCCAGCAGGGCAGCTGACCACTTGTGTAGCGTCCTACTTTAGCGATGCATCTGCTCATCTGCATTTGCTCATCCACTCTGGAATTAGCCATCTTGACAAATGAGGGTCTCTCTTGGTATTAATCTCTCTCTTCTTGTCTCTAAGTTGGGCAGAAGTTCTAACTCAGCTGTGTGCTCTTCCAACTTTGGAAAACCTTTTAGATGAGCAGTGGAGGCATTGTTTGGAAGAAAAGGCAGATTTTCCACACAGTTAAATCAGGAGGAGAGTCTCTTTGTGGCACTGTTTCTCAGCCGGGGACCCACTTGCCGTCTCTGCTACCCTATCTTGGGGCCATGGCTATGTCTGCAGACATTTCTGGTTGTCACAAATAAAGGAAGGAGTGTTATTAGCACCTACCAGGACAGGGAATCTGCCATCTCTTGTAGTAGCCAGGTCAGATGCTAGCAAAGAATTTTCCAGTCCAATGTCAATGGGGCAGAGCTGAACGATTAATGAGGGGCACACTGGACCCCCCAAGAGGTGGACTGTTTTTGTGTGTTTATCCCAGGGACAATGCATCAGGAGTAACAGATTTTATCTCTTCACAGGTCTTTCACTTTGAAAATGTCAAAGATGTGCCCTTTGGGTTTCAAACAGTAACATCAGATGTAAACAAACTTAGCTCCTTCTACTCACTGAAGTTAATCAAGAGGCTCTACGTAGACAAATCCCTGAGTCCTTCCACAGTAAGTGGTTCATAGCAATTAGCAAGGACTAGCTTTTTACAAGTGGAGCTGTTTTCACCCAGTGAAACTACAATTTGTCCTCCCAGTGAAATTCACTTTTCACATGCTCATTTGTGAGTTGAGGCTTATTAAAACAAAGCAGTTCCAGTGGAAACATTTGCAGCTCTATTGTCTAGCTCAAAATACAAAGAAGCTTCTGGGATTTCCCTTTTCCTCTCAAATTACTCATAAATCCTACCCTTGAAATTTCCTCACTTGGTGAAATGGAGACTGGGCTTGTAAACTTCGGTGGATGTTTGAAATCTGTTTCTTCTTAAATAACAGGACATATGTGGCCCAGGACAGCATTTTAATTTTCTACTTTGTTTATCTGTCTATGCACACAATGTTCCACTGATGCATAAGAAAAATAATAACCATATGAACTGATGGTTTTCATCAGTCATGAGTTGGTTTTGTTCATTTTACTAGCTCAGTTACGTCAGAAGCTCTACAAGGTAGCTCTGGATGTTTAATTTCAGCCTTTTCTTTAAGGAATCTTATAAATAACACTGTGGCATCCTTAAAATTTTACCCTAGCCTATTAATAACATTTTATAAATCATAGTTGAAACATAATGCCAACACCCTAGACTTCCTGGAGATTCCCTCTCTGTAAACAGAGTTGAATGAATGTGCTTTCATGTCCATAATTCTAAGCCTCCTTACTAAGGTGTCAACTACAAGCTGAATATTTTGTCAAAGTTTTAACTGCTTTTGGCCACTAGTATTGTTTTTTTTCTGAGAGCATTTTTGCATTTTTTGACGGCATGAGTGATTAGATATTGTTACAGGATTATTCTTATTGCGTGAAGACACATACACAGCCCTTCCCTCACCCCCACCTTCAGCAATACTTAGAGTGGCAATTTGTGGAATATTTATTTATTTCAGTGAAGACAAGTTTTTTTTTTTTTTGCTCAGAGAGCTCTCTTTTCAGTATATTTCTTCTATTTTAAGATATATGTATTTACATTTTAATATGTCTGCACGCAGAATCAATATTTTAATTGTTGTGTACATTTAGTGTAGTCTTATTTCCAGTAAAGCTGATACTCAAATGATGAATGAACTTCATAAATAGCATTGTCTCCATGTTGAATACATGTAACATAAAAATTAATTGATTTCTACATGAGCTTTTAGTTTATACAGTATTACAGATTTTGAAAGTGTATTCATGGTTAATGGAGAAACTTAATCAGTGGCTTAACTACAGCTTTTAAGTACTTCATAACGATGAGCTTAATGTTTTTCAGGAGTTCATCAGCTCTACAAAGAGACCCTATGCCAAGGAGCTGGAAACTGTTGACTTCAAAGATAAGTTGGAAGAAACGAAAGGTCAGATTAACAACTCCATCAAGGATCTTACAGATGGCAAGTATTCCTTACCTTTTTTATGTTCCTCCGAGTTGCTAGGCAGACAGACTCTGTCTTCTTGTGGTCTTTCTGCTAAGCACGAAATCGAACACCTGGAACGTTCCTTGGGTGCACTGGCACATCCCCCTAAATTCTTGCCCACCAAACCATTCCAACAATTTGACTTTCTAGGTGGTGAAATGCCATTTGAAATGGCAGCAGCTAGCCACACTGCCTTTGGTCCGCCTTGTCTTGCTGTTCAAGGAGCCGTCACCTGCCCTGCTGTGGCCTCAGCTGTGTCTAACAGAGGGACTTTGGGCAAGTCACGAGGCCAGGGTTTCAGGCTGGAGACGGAGGACCTGGATGACTTGATCCGTTTGGCCACTTCCAGCTCAACCATGGGAGAAAAAGGCCCAAGTCTTAAGTCATCAAAACCACATACAGGAAGCAAAACAAGACAATCTGGAGTGGAAACCACAGCGCCCCTCAGTCTGTCCTCAGACAGCCGGGGTCGGTCCCGAGCACCTACCTGAACTTACCTTTTCCTTCCGCTTCCCTCTGGTCTCTCCTTCCCTGCTTCCTCCTTCCACTAGATTCATCTGAGTCCTCTGCTAGAAAGCACCTGGACCTAAGCTGTTTTGAAGTGTCAATCAGTGTCATTATCCTATTCCCAGCAGACACCTTTATATACTTATACAGGAAGCACGTGGTGGCACAAAGTGTCCCCCCGAAGGAGAGAGCAGCATGGGAGGATTTTTCCAGCACCATCATAGTTGCTGACGTCCAGGGGATATACTTCCTGTGAGAATGGCCAGAGAGCCTTCCTGCTCTTCACCTGAGGAATGGGAGTGTCCATGCTGTAATGGTGGGAGGATGGCCTGAAAAATGAGGTCTTGCAGGAATTCAAGACCTAGATTCCAATCCAGACCCTGCCACTTGTTAACTGAGATATTGGGATGAGGAGCCTCAGTTTACGGAACTGTCAAATGAGGGCACAGGCTATATAATTTTTACATGGTTGCCATGAGGACCAAATTAGATAACATTACTAACAAAGTGTGAGCACTGGCCATGATAATAACGACACCCTCTGGGCATGAACACACATGCAGCGGTATGTGCTCATGTATGTTTGTTATTGAAATAAGGTTCTTTGGTTTACATGTAGAGAAAAAGAAACCTGATGAACAGCAGGTTAAGCTGCTTACTTAAAAATTATAAGCCCTCCCTGGTGGTGCAGTGGGTTAAAGTGCAGCACTGCAAGCCAGCCACACCGCTCCAGTGTGAGTTCGATCCCCGCCTGTCCCAGAGGTGACCCACATGGCGTGGCAGACCTCTCCTGACCTACCCGCTGCTGCCCTCAGCAGTGTACTCTGTTAGTCGGCCTGTTCTGCTTCCCACTCTGTCCCTGGTGAAGCCTCTCACTGCCCCTGCACCTCTGGCCTGTACCCCAGTTCTGTATGAATAAATAAATTTAAAAAAATTATAAGCACAAAGCAGCTGTTGCTTAAATTGCTGCATAAATAACAATTCAGCTTTCTGAACTGCTAAATCATTGTATTTTCTCCCAAAGGGTCTTTGGTTTTAAAAGTTTTGTGAGTCTAAGGTTTTTTTTGGGTGGGAGAGGGCTCAGTGAAAAACCTCTGGCCTTGGGGTCAGATGCCCTAGACTGTAGCTGAAGTGCTGCCACTTCTAGCTCTGTATTTCTATCATCTTCGGGTTTCTTCACAACCACTATTATGGGTGCAATCTGTCATGTAGGATTGGCAGGACCAGTGACATAATCTGCAGGCCCCAGTGCAAAATGAAAAGGCAGGACCCTCTTTTTCTTTTTTTAAGATTTATTTATTTGTGCATACAGAACTGGGGTACAGGCCAGAGGTGCAGGGGCAGTGAGAGGATTCACCAGAGTCAAAGCGGGGAGCAGAACAGGCAGATGGATGAAGTACACTGCTGAGGGGAGCAGCGGGCGGGTCAGGAGAGGTCTGCTGCACCGTATGAGTCACCTCCGGGGCAGGGGTCGAACTCGCACTGAAGCGGCTGCAGCTAGCTTGCAGTGCTGCACCCTAACCTGTTGCACCACCAGGGAGGGCCAGCAGGACCCTTTTTGAAACAACATGTGAAGAACTTTAGGGTGTGGACAGAGGGTTAGCTAGTGAGACGCCTTCACAGGCCAGCTGGACAGTAGGCTTGGCATTGGTGGTGGTGATGTACCGGACATCAGGGGAATGAGAGTCCTTTGTGAACAAAGTCAAGCACTCGTCAAACGTGAGCACCTCATTTTATTAAGGGATCCTGACCGCTGATTGTGCTGTGGGGATTGAGCTCTGTGGTAAGCACAGCCACCAGGGAGCCCCTTGCTGCAAACAGCTGTTTGAGGAGAGGGGAGACAGGGCTGTGCGCCTGGCAGATGTGTTCCAGTTGAGTGAATTAGGCAGCCACTTGGTCTCTCTGCCTCAGTTTCCTCAACTACACAATGGTCCTAGTATCTTTGCCTTACAGGAGCGCCATGGGAGGGAAGTGAGATAATGTAGGGCCGGGCAAGCTAGTGTTCAGGCATTTTCACTCTGGAGCATGGGCTTGGTCCTTGCTGTGTATTGTCTTGGGCAAGTGACAGCCCCATGCCCAGCTTCCTGGCGAGCATGGTGTGAGCAGCTCACTGCCAGGCATTCAGCACAGCAGCCTTTCTCCCTCCTCGCTTCTCCCCTTCCTCTTCCTCTGACATCTTTGGCAAGTCTGACTGTGCAGGATGGGAGCGGAAGGAGTCTGCTGACCGAGATGGCCGCAGTGGCCGACCTGACTCGGCGTGGTTCTAGCAAGTGAAATGCCCAGGGAGTGGACATGCCTGTGAGTATCAGATGTGGTGTGGAAGAATAACCCTGTGCAATCTGTGGTTTCCTAAAATTGTCTGCAGGCCACTTTGAGAACATTTTAGCTGACAACAGTGTAAACGACCAGACCAAAATCCTTGTGGTCAATGCTGCCTACTTTATTGGAAAGTGGATGAAGAAATTTCCTGAAGCAGAAACCAAAGAATGCCCTTTCCGAGTCAATAAGGTACGTGGGGGCGGCCTGAAGTTGCCAGCCAGAGAGCTGAAAAATTACAGGAACACAAGGGGTGCTTGGAACTCACTCTGATGAGGAAAAAGAGTGCCCAGGAGGTCAGACTTTGCTGCTAGAAACCTTACCCAGAGTCTCAGGCGCCGGGCATAAAATACTACGTTTAGACCCTGTTTTCCGTTCAAGGTCCCTGAGCTAGAAATATGGCTTTTGAGCTATTTTTTTTTTAAAAGATCTATTTTTTTAGGCACACAAAAACTAGGGTACAGGCCAGAGGTGCGCACTGGCAGATGTGTTCTAGTCGAGTGAATTAGGAAGCCACTTGGCCTCACAGACCACAGAGAGGACTCACAGACTGGGGAACAGAACAAGCAGTTGATTGCAGCACACTGCTGAGGGGAGCAGCAGGTGGGACAGGGGCTGTCTGCTGCGCCCTGTGCGTCACCTTCCCGGCTGGGATTGAGCTTGTAGTGGTGGCTGTGGACAGCTAGATAGCTCCCTATTGTGCGCTGACCCTTGCGCCACCAGGTGGGCCCCTTTGGGCTTTCTCAGTGTGGCCGTTGATTTAGACAGGAGTGGAGCTTGACCTAGCACGGCCTGCCCTGCGGTGGGGGCTGTTGACCTCACACAACCTTTCTTGCCACAGGAGTCCCCTCAGCAGTGCTGGGCTGTCCTCGCTCCCCTGCATGCGGAGGACTGGCAAAGAGGCCCTAAGTATGGGGACATGAAGCCTCCAGTGTGTTCCCAGCAGTCAATGGCGTGACGTTGCCGTGCAGATACACTGGGCTTCGGGCTGACCACACTCCCGCCGTGATCGGTCATTTTAACAGGGAAGCCGGCGTCTGTGGTGTCTTGTGAGGCGTTTGGAAGAGCCCACGCTGTTCTTTAGTTCTTGCTATGAAGCCATCAGGGTGAGGTCCTGTGAGGTCGGCAGAGGCAGGCTGCGGGGCACTGTGGCCTCCCAGCGTCTGGCGCAGCAAGGTCATAAAACACCTTCCACGCTGCGGAACACCCTGCCTTTGAATGCAGAAGCGCTTCTCCCTTGAATTGCTTTCTCAGCCCCTGCACTTGAGTGTCCTTACTAATAATTTGCTTCTCAAGTGCTGCAGAGTCTTCTCGAGCTGGACTAAATGGGTGAAATGATGCTAGTAAAAGTTCAGCTTAGGGCTGCTCTCCTATTATTAAAAGTGGCCCACAATGCCTATTCTTACAGAGTGGGACAAACTCACCCTTTGTGGATATAGTTATTATGTTTCCTGTGATAGTTTTAGTTAGTTGTGTTTTCAGAAGGGATGTGTCAATTTATGTTAAAGAAAATGGGATAATTGTATCCATCTTCAGTGCAATAAATGACTTTTTTTTGAGACCAAAGCTACCTGCAATTTCAGAAACCACTGTCAGTCTAATCTGAAGGTTTTTAGCTTGATCTTCATCTTTCAGAGAAATGAATAGAGAATTAGCAGTTAGTCTCAAAAATATTTTGTTTCTGGTTATACATATAGTTCATATAGTTGAATTCTTTTATCAGCTACTATTTTGTGAGCAGTTAATGTATGCTGAGTTATACCACGATAATAAGACTGTTCCTGCTTTGTCTAATTGGGATGGTGGTAGGGACAGAAATACTGTCACATAAATATTTCTGACACTGTGACAAGAGGCATGTATAAAACAAAATAAGTCTGCTAGAGAGAGGTGGTATTGCTGTTTGCTGCTTAAAGGTATTAGATAAAAGTTTTACTGTAGTTTATCCCAGAAATTCTGATAGGAAGTTTGAAATCCCACTCCCTTCCCAAAGAAATTCAGTTAACAGGCAGATGTCCCATGAAAGGCATTGATCAAGGTAGACCCTAAATTACTACCAGTCTTTTACTCCTTAGTGAGAAATAATTTTCCTTCAGAAAATCAGTCAACTGCTGTAGCAGAAACACTTGTTGGACATTACTGAGGGCAGAGAGAAGAAAAACGAATGTGTTGTCTTAGGGAGACACCCTTCTGTGGGCTCCCTGTACTAGAAGGCACTTGGGGATCATTTTTAAACATTCTCACTTTTCAAATCATGAATTATTTCAAGCATATAGGAAATTAGAGAAACAAATACCAATGTTGTCAGCAACCAACTTGTAAATCCTTCACAGCTTTCCTTATTTCTCTCAGATATTCTAGAGAAAAGCATATAGCAACTGTCAGACAGCAGGTCCGGAAATAATGTCATTTCCTTCCATGCCGTTTTGTGACAAGTTGGTGGGGAAAACCATCCTTGCCTTCAGTGAGCACAGTGATGTTTTTGTGGCTCTCACAACCCAGCGTTTCACCTAAAGTCTCAGTTTCTGAGGCCCTAGAGCTGTTAGGTGAGGATTCGCTTCACCACTCCGTGTCCCCTCTGTCTGTCACCTTCTCCTTCTACCTCGGAGGCAATGATTATTCTAAATTTTCTGATTCCCTCATCCCACTGGCAAGGAAGCCCAGAGAGGTGAAGCGAGTTATTCAGTTTGTGACATTGGGGACAAGCCCCCAGGCTGGCCTCCAGTCCAGACCATCTTCACGAGGCAGGTCAGAGCGGGTGTCACATGACCTCGTCTACCTGCAGGAGGCTGAGTGAGCACAGGCAGACGGGAGGCCACGGGAGACCAGACAGGCATCCTGCACGTGAATCAGTTTTCTGGGCTGTGTATTTTATTAGGAAAAGCTGTATTAATGGACATGTGGGTAGAGTTTACTTTCAAGTCAGCTCCACCACAAGTGGTTTAAAGCTCCTGTAGTTATGGGCATCTCCATCAAGATGAAGTGAACAGTTGCCTGGATTTGTAGTGACACTGTTTTTATAAGCGACTGTAATATTATGTAGCGCCCCTGTGATGGATAATATGTACAAAGCACAGGAGTACCTTTCCAAAGAGGCATAAATGCTTCCAGGGACACTCCCTGAAGGTCTGGGTGCAGGGCGGTGTGGCTCCCAGTGGCTGGATCGTTGAGCCCTGATGTCTGAAAGCAAGACGAAGCAAACGGAGCTGCATGAATGCAGGTGCACACACAAGCGCACATTCATGTGCCCACCAACACATAGCTGCAAGGACACGCTGCACACACGATCACATCTCTCCCCTCACAGACGGACACCAAACCCGTGCAAATGATGAATCTGGAAGCCACGTTTTGTATGGGTCACATCGACGGGATCAACTGTAAGATCATTGAGCTTCCCTTTCAAAATAAACACCTGAGCATGCTCATCCTGCTCCCCAAGGATGTGGAGGACGAGTCCACCGGCTTGGAGCAGGTAAAGGCGAGGCGGGCGTTGGGAGGCAGGTGCCTCCTCCCGCCGGCTCAGCCACAGCCCTCCCCACGCAGCTGCCCTGCGGTCTCCCAGATTTACACCTTCTTTCTGCTCCTCCCTCCCGGATGCTCAAGCAGCCAACACGCACCTGGCGCTTACCACAGGCCAGGGGCTGGGCTGTCTGTGCGCCATCTTACTTGTGCTCATAACTGTGTGCGTGAGAAACTACTGCTCACTCTCGTCTAGAAGCGAGAGCGCGAGGCCCAGAGGCAGGACTTTGCTGCCGGCCAGCCCTCGCTGCCAGGGGCCCCTCCACTGCCCCGGGTGAGGGTCGGGGCCATGCCAGGGTGTCCCAGCCGGCTTCCGCCCTCCCCGACTTTGCCGAGGAAGTCGACCTGGCCTCCGACTCCGCTTCAACCTACCGACCCCGCTGTTCTCACCTCCCCGCTGGTGCCTATCTGTTGTCCTGTGTTGTCCTGTCGTCTTTTTTTCACTGTTCTCTTTTACTCTATGTCTTGATTGCATTTTCTTTTTCACTCATTATTCATCTGTTTGCACTTAAAGTATCCTCGCACCATTTTTTTCTTATTATAGACTGAAAAATGGTCTTTTGGGCCTCAGAAAGAAATATTTAAAAACACACGTGGTGTTAGCCTGCTAAGATGGCTGTATCCAAACACCACACATTGGTGGTTTCAACAGCAGAAATGGGGTTTCTCAGAGCTCTGGGGGATGGAAGTCTGAGATCAAGCTATCAGCCTGCAAGTTCCTTCTGAGGGCCTGAGAGGGGATGTGGTTGACGATTCTCTCTTACCTTGTGGTGATTTGTTGACCACCTAGGAGACCCGTCACTTTAATCTCTGTCTCCTCCTCCCTCCATGTGTATCTGCATCTGTGTTCCAATCTTCCCGTTCATGAAGCACCAGGGTGAGGGCCCACTCAGGGACTGTATCTAAATTAGTTACACCTACAGGGATCTTATTTCCAAATAACATCCCATTCTAAGTCTGTGGTTAGGACTTCAACATCCCAATTTGGGAGTGGGCGTTTTTATCCATTATGCATATACAATGGAGAGAAGACATTTTCTCTTTCTATATGGTCTTTTCAAGTATTAGATGATTTTTTTACTCTCCTCATGCCCACGTAGTAAATAGGTAGGATAAATACCTTTTGCCTCAAAAATTCTAGTTACTTATAATTATCTTCTGGTCCTAATAAGTTGCCCCAATTGAATCAGTATCCATTAATAATAATTATCATAGATTAGCAAGAGCCCAATGGCTCTTTTCCTCATTTGAAGAAAACCTTGTGACCAGCTTGAGCTCTTGCCATCTTCCTGCCTTTCATAGGGTTCACAAGAGCAACTTTGGGGCAGGACTGGCCAAGAGACATGGCAGTCAAGGTGTTGTGGGGGGGGAGGTGGGAGAAGGGAGCTTGAAGACTTGCTAAATGAAGAATTATCTGACTAAACCGTCTAGCTTTCCATTTTCATTTTTGAAATAACCAACAGAAAGGGACGTATTCATCACCTATCATTGTAAAGAATGATCACAGACAGTTCACATCCTCATGTTTAAAAGAGTAACTGTAGACTAATCTGATGCCATGCCCAATGTGTGACTGTTTTGGCTATTTAAGTAGAGAAATGAAAACATTATTTATAGAAACCTAGTTTTGTATTTATTTCATTATTGCTGCCCCATCACAATCCATGCATTTGCTTTTATAGAGCTGCACCAGAGCTTAAAAGACGTGTCCTCATAAATGTGAAGCAAAGGGTCCATTGTGTAGGTGAGGCAGGGCTGAAGCAGACTGGCTGGCTGGGATCTTTTACGAGAGAAACTACTCACACTCCAGACCACAAGGGCTGACTCCATCCTTGATGGCCCATCTGGATGGCTTGGAAACTGGGCCCAAGATGACACCCCATGGCTTTAATCAAGCAGGAGCTTTTACCATTGAGAATAAAGAAAGACTTACCTTTCTTTCTTGTCTTTCAGGTTGAAAAACAACTCAACTCAGAGACGCTGTCACAATGGACCAACCCCAGTACCATGGCCAATGCCAAAGTCAAACTCTCAATCCCCAAATTTAAGGTGGAAAAGGTTGTTGACCCCAAGGATAGTCTGGAAAACCTAGGGCTGAAAACTGTCTTTAACGAGAATACTTCTGATTTCTCTGGAATGTCAGAGACCAAGGGGGTGGCCCTCTCCAATGTCATTCACAGGGTGTGCTTAGAAATAACTGAGGATGGTGGAGAGTCCATAGAGGTGCCGGGATCCCGGATCCTACAACATAAGGATGAGTTCAATGCCGACCACCCTTTCATTTACATCATCAGGCACAACAAAACTCGAAACATCATTTTCCTTGGCAAGTTTTGTTCTCCTTAAGTGGCAGAGCCCAGGTTAAGACCCACTTGACTTTTCTGTAAACCCCATCTAGGAAATCACTTTCTAAATATGGTAAATTGTTAATCTGTCTTTATAGGGGCCCTCACACTAACAGACCCTTCTTTTCCAATCTTCTCTTTAGTCCCCACACCCCTGCCCATAAAAGCAGTGGTGTATGCTTTTAATGAAAGCACCTTCAAGGTGAAATGTATGGTCATTATTTGTCAAATAATCTAGGACTCTAGGCAAGAATACAGTTTTCCAAAATGAAAGTTCCTATAAGGAAGATCTGGAGGACTTTTGTTCCCAGAGTTAAGTCTTCCTTTACTGGGGCACAAAATGTTCCAGACTTTCTCACTCCCTGAAAATTAAAAACAAAAACAAAACTGTGGTATAGGGATGCCACAAAACTTTTCTGGCCCCAATGAAAGCTACTATAGAGCCACAGTTCCTGTAAGCCCTGTGGGAAAATGTTTTCTCTAAACCTTGAATTTTGGGGAGTTCACAAAGATAATATAAGTACTTACTGTACACCTTGGGATTACTTGAATAGGGTCTGGAGCACAGTATAAAAGTCAACTCCTTAATCTCTTCTGCACGAAAAGTAGCTGGACTTAAATAGTTTAGGGGGTCAGGCTTTACTATCAAATGAATTTTTCACCAGCTTATTATGAAAAAAAGCATTGTTTATGGAACTTTTTGAAACCTCGGGATGTTTGATAAAAACTGTAAATCAGTAGTAGCTGAAGTACTCACATATGCTTTCTATGCACTCATGCACACACATGTCTGTAAGCATATTTATGTATGTAGGTAAGCTCAGAACTTAGTAAGATTCACTTTTTATCAAACACCCACTCGGTCATGTGCTTGGAGATGGCACGGCATTGAATTTTCTTGGCAAGGTTTTGGGTGTCTGACACCAGGGACTTGAAATACATGGAACTTTCAGTATCCAATAAAAGAATTTTGTGAATGTTGAAGGAAACTGTCTCTTTGTCTCACATGATACTGGAAAAGGGAAAGAAGGTCAAAGTCTCCAGAAAAGACAGCTAACAGCAGTTAGGTATCTATGGCGCCATCACAAAAATCTGTGGTGCCATGATGTGTGAGTCCCCAGCCTGTGGGTTTGATTATTTTTGATAGCAAGTTGGTGACTTGCACTAATAGCATTTTTTAAAACAGATGTATTTATTTATGCATACAGAACTGGGGTACAGGCCAGAGGTGCAGAGACAGTGAGAGGATTCACCAGAGACAGAGTGGGGAGCAGAACAGGCTGACTGATGAAGTTCACTGTTGAGGGGAGCAGCGGGCGGGTCAGGAGAGGTCTGTTGCGCCATGTGGGTCACCTCTGGGGCGGGGATTGAACTCGTGCAGAAGTGGCTTTAACTTCTTAGTGTGGTGCTCTAACCCGCTGCGCCACCAGGGAGGGCCCTAGTAGTTGTTTTTAAAAATTGGGATCCTAAGTTATCTATATCCTAAGTTCATGTACGAATTTACTGTCAGAAGAACACACTTGCTATAGGTTTTGTGACCTCTTCCTTCCAAGCCACTCAGGGGAGGTTCAACATTTTTTTCTGCTCTGAAGGATCAATACTGAATTTTGTTTATGCCATTGCCAATAAAATACAGAAGATCCTCAACTAGTGCTTTGTCTGATGCTGTTTGGCTCTCAGATTGATGAAGAAAAACAAAACAACAATCTGCTCCTGAGCAAGGCCATTTTCTCTGAGCGGTTTACACTTTCTCTTCAGTGCTATAAGGCTGTTCACCAGGACTGTGGTTTCAGCCACATCCCCAAGATGTAAGTGTGAGTTTCACTGACTTGTGTCTATTGTCCCAGTGGGACATGTGGGCGCTTGTGCCCCGTCTGTGGTGGGAGGGTGTTGCATCCAGGGTGGGATCTGGCCTGAGGTGTCATGTTGTTCCTGCCTCCATGACCAACCCTGATATGGAATAAACAGGTGGGAAAACACAGAATGAAGACAAATGCTTGTTTCATAATGGAAGCAACCTAGGTCTGTACTTATATGTTTGATGATGGGCTTGTGATAAGCAATATGCTGTAGACATCAGTTAGCCTATGGTTCAGCGGTTTCATTATACATGATTTCACTGAAAACTGCAGTCTCTAAGAACCTAAGACATTATGTGAGGACTCACTGTACTGTTGAAATACAGAATATTCCACCACCCCATCCGGCCTACACCCTGCCACTGTTATGTTAGGCTTCCTCTTTGCAGCAGACCCCGTCTGCCCACTGATAAGCGCATTCCTGTCCACACCTGTGTTGGGACATTGTGTAGCATAAAGTAGATGAGAAGAATTCCTGTTCCTCCCTTCCTCCCTTCCTCCCATCCCTTTCACCTTGAGGAGGAGGATGAGGGAGGCGGCCAAACTTCAGCTGTGCCCAAGTGGAAGTACATTGTGAAAGAAGGGGTCTTGTAGGAAGATGTGGAACTTTCTCTACCTTTTTTCAGTGGGGGCCCAGGTTCAAAATATAATTTGTTAAGATGTATATGCCTGAAATATTTTCTCCTGAAGTGCATTTGTCTCACATTGACATACAGTTGTTTTAAATTAATTATGGTGAAATTAATTATGGTGTCCCTGAACCTCAATAGAATACTCAACATGGCCCCTTTTCTGTCCTTATCATGTACTCCAAGAGACTGTCCATGCTTGCAAAAATAATATGGAGACAGGATGTGACATACGCCTCCACATTCTGCAAAGAGAAGGCCTTTTGTGCAGGCATGCTGAGGCTGGGGTGACAGTGTTGAAATCAGGGTTTTCAACCCTTCTCACCCCCTTCTCTGGGCTGAGAAACAGAGCCAAGAACAATGGTGAAGAGTCTGAGTGAGGACTGAGGGGAGGGGTGTGACTCCTTAAGCCAAGAGATCAGGGCAGTAAGCAAGTCCCCCAAATGAAAATGCGTAGTTCATGAAAAATCAAGTGCTGAAGTCCCATATTTTCTTGTTGAGACTTGAAATATGCATCAAACTCTCCCAGACCCCTGGGGCTGAAATCATGGATCCCAGGAAAACGGGGGCTGAACCTGGTTGAGGAGGAACCAGTGAGTGCTTCACACGCCGTTTAATGTAGCAGCCACAGGAAACTCCCCCGGCTTTATGGAGATGCCGCTGACCTATAATGTATGCTAGTTTAAGGAGCGCTGGTTGGCGATTAGACACATGCGTATGTTGCAAACTGGTTATCACCTTAAGATTAATTAACGGCTGTATGGCCTCTCATCATTATGGATTTTGAATGTGTGTGGTAGTAACATTTAAGATCTCTCTCAACAACTTTCAAGCATATAATACAGCCCTGTTAACTACAATCATCCCCGGCATTCGCTCTCCAGATCTTATTTATCTTGTGGCTGGGTATCTGTACCCATTGCCAACTGTTCTGCCGTCATCCCGGGCTGGGAAGGTTCATCATCGGTTCAGGCAGCTTAAGTGAGAAACCTGGGACCTTTGGCATCATGCTCACAGGTCAGGGGAAACAAGGTAGCAGGGAGAACAGCAACTAGGCTCCCACCCCTTCCCCCCACCCAACTGCGAACCCCTATACCTCTTTCCTGTCGTCGCTGTTTTCTGCTGCTCTCCACCCCATGCTCCTGCCGCACGCCAGCCTCTGTGAC